AAATATTAATTATCAAATATGATCATATTGCGTCAATGGAAACTAAGATTCTTTTCCTTTTATTATGGCTCTCTCTCTTACTTGTATAAATATGAGACTAATTAAACATATTGGAATAATCAATAACTCCTTATTATATAATTCAAATAACAAACAACATGGTAGTAGTGCACATAAGCAAAAGTTTGACAAAGTGAAGCAGCACATACAAATAAACGGACTCGGGCCGTACGATTCAAGCCAAGGGAAAATCAGATATATTTACGCGCAAGTTTTTCTAACAACGAAGGATCATCTTCATCGATTACTCTCTCCATTTCCCATCCGTCTTTGTAGACAACGCTGGTCGGGAGAGAGTATACATCAATTTCATAATATGGTGGGATAAATCGTTGCTCGTCAGTGTTGACTGTGTAGAATTTGACCGTATCCTCGAAAATCAAGTCCAGTCTGCTCAGTATGTTGCGTACGCTCTCACATTTCACTCCACACCTCTTGTTTGTGAACAAAACCATCACCGGGAGTTTGGAACGCATCACATCATCCCATTCTGATGGTGCAGTGACATCGTGTACGACTACACATGTGCATATATCAATGGATAAACATAAAGTTAAAACATAAAGTATCGGGACCAAAAATCAGAACGTATCTATGGATATTCAGATCTAGAACCGAAAATAGTAATTATAATAAATAATTTTTTTCAATGAAAATTATTAAACTAAATTTTTTAATAATATTTTGCAAAATAAATATGATATATATTAGAAAAGAACTAAAACAATGTATATAAAAGAACTAAAAACAATGTATATAAACCTATATATATATATAGATATTTTATATAAAATACTTTAATATAATAAAAATATATGTTATTAATATATTTAAAGCATCTTAACCGGATAATCAAACCTTAAAATTTTACTATTCGAATCTGAATCGTTTTCCATATATAGAACCGAGATTTTATTATCTAGATCCATATGTAAACGTTTCTGATATCATAATTTTCGAAGTGGATTATAGCAAATCCATGATCGAATTCTGATCTTGGATAGCAATTCCACCCATAATACTAAAGAAAACCCAAACAAAAAAAAAAGAAGGAATTCATGAAAACATGCATTTCTTGTTGGGGTGGGAATAGGAAAACTAAAATTCTAACAATAACTATTTTTTTGTTGTGCTTCTCTATGACAAAATTTTAGAAATATTTCAGAATTTAAAAGAAATAAAATGCTAATGGGGTCAACAACTTACCCTTAAGCATAGCCGAATGATCGTCCAAGTCATCATTAGACGGTAGTGACGATGACACGTAAGTCTTGATCATTGCATCTGATGGTTCTGAACACATCACAACGTTAAACCCTAAACACAGAAAGCACATTAATACAGTTACTACCAAACGATAAGAAACATTAATTTCCTCCATCTTTTTTTTTTAATCTCTCTGTATATCTCTAAACTCGTTTTAAAGTGTTGAAACAAAGCCGTCTCTACTCTGGTTTTATAAGCATCCATCATTTACATTAATTAATCACCACCACTTCTCACCCATTACCATAAAAGTTTATAATTTAAATTAATCATGATTGATATGATGATTATAACGCAAAATAAAAATTCTTTTGTAACCATAGCCTCTAAGTTTTTGCCAACTTTAAAAATGAATGAAATCTGTCACGTTTTCAAGCCATACTTAATCAAGATATCTCAAGACATTTTATTATGTCACGTTCTCCTAATTAAGCACTCATGAAGTCAATGATAATATAATAATAACTTCACAAGGATCACCACCTTCTTGATCACTCAGCACGATTTATTGACTCTTCTCTTAGTATTATCATAAGCTTGATGAGATCTCTTAAGGAGATTACCTTGAGTATTTAATATTACCAATGGATTTTCTACATTGAAGGAATATGTTATATACTATTAGTCCCTGGTTCGATCACGCAATTTCTCAGTAAAACAAGTTAAAAAAAGGTCCATGTATAATATTGTTAAAGCCAAGATCTGGATTTTGTGGACTAGGTCAGGGATTCGGTGATGCAGCGATTCCAAATATCTTTCTTATCTATTTAATTATTTAGATTTATATTTTAACATTCCATAATATTTTAGGTATTTCTAACTTCTAAAGTTTTATGTTTTATTATAAATAGCCTCTTAGGCATCTTATTGTATTCAGTAATTGATGAATTGATTAATCGAAAGATTTAAAGAGGTTTTGCTATCAAAACCACTGTGAAGAGTATTCACAAACCCTAAGAGTTTTTACGAAATCCTGAGAGGAGGACTTTCAAACCCTAGTTCCCGGGTATTTTCAGAATCAACGGATCTTGTTCTATCCCTAGAAGTTTCCGCTACGTCACTCGGGTGTATTGACTCCATGAGCTTCGTGGTCTGAATTGGCAAATCTATAGATTGTCCCATATAACGTGGATTTAATTAACATATAGGGATATCACGTATATGTAGAGCCAGTCCTGAGATATTTGAGGTCCAATACGAAATTAAAATCGGAGCCTTTATATAAAATAAAAATACAAAGTTGTTAAAAATTTTCGGTCTGCATAAAACTAAAAAAATACAATATCTTGAAAGGTAATAAAAGCCTATCAGTTT